TTAAGAACATTTTAATATCAAACACTAAGAGTTTGTATCTGCTTTAAGTGGAACTTACTGCATATGTAATTTAAACCTCTGTATTTTATGTTTCCAGAGAAAATTTCTAGATGTTCAGTATACAGAGATACATAGCTCAGTGGAGGCTAGTTGCTTTCTCTGAAGAACATGTTAAGTTCAGTCATCAGCTAAGTATCTCAGACATAACTATTGGAATAATCCTTTGATGATTGTGGGATCGGGTTCTCATGATCAACATTTTTTGATTGAGCCTAAAGACTAACCAATTATTATGGTGGTTGCTGAACTGAAAGGTTTGAGGATAGGAAAAATTTTGCATATAAAATCTAGAAAACCCTTTGGTAGTACAAACATCAGAATCGAATCTTTAAATTTGTGAACTATCCAGATTGATTTTGCCTAACATGCGATCTGCCAGTTTGAATGCCAACCAATAAGCATGCTTTATAGCCTACTGGGCACTTAAAAAACATATATTTTGTGGCACCAAAGGCCCATCACTCTTTTCTTCTCCAACCAACCATGATAATTCTAAATTTGTTAAATCATCTAGGCAGAAATTACTCATACTGCAGAGTTCCCCAACCTTTCCGGCTTTGCGGACCAGCGGAGGGCGGAGAGAGAATGGTTCCACGCAAGTGATTGGCAAGCTTGCACATGCGCACCTCCATTTTGTGTGAGCACTGTGCATGCGTACCTGCCATTCACGCAAATGGAACATGTGTGCACGTGTTCAACCTCTGCTCATGCAAGTGGGGATGCGCTTGCATTCGCATGCGCACGCCCACTGTTTCCGCGGCCTGGTTGCAAACAGCTCAGTAGTTGGGGATCTCTGTCCTAGTAACCTAATTCCTGGAGTAAAGGTAGAAGCCAGGAAGTGCTGCCTTTTGATAGCATCACAGATTCTTTGGAGGAGTCTCCCACAGTAGAGAACAGACTGTCATCAATTGCTATCTGCATTCAGAGCGATATCGAAGAACGAACTATCCCTGGAGGACCTTCTAACTAGATCAGGCTATATTCTGTTTTATTCTTTTTGAGTTGTTGTCATTGTTTTCACCATCACTTCTGATTTTATGTCCTTTTATATCTCCTGTGGATTGTTTGAAAATATTTTTTTAATACCTTGTAAGCTGCTGATTATCAAATTGATTGAAGTGAGGTACAAATGCAATAAATAAACAAATAGGGTTTTTTTGTTTTGGTGCCTTTGAGATTCTTTGCTCCACCCTTGTTATTTTTAGATTCTGCTAATTTAGAAAAATGGAAAAGTGACAAGTGGTTTAAAGAAAAAAAAAACCCTGAAAAATGCTTTATAAAGGATGCCTGTCTATGTTACATAAGCCTTGTAAAGTTAATGGCCTTTAGAAGTATGTCCATATGGGTAGAAAAATGCAAGAGTAAATTACGATGTGAAGGGTATCCTGAGAGACTAAAAAGGAGATCATAGGGAGCAACTCCCAGTAGTTTGCCTTCTGTTAAATGCATGTTTTATTATAGGGCATAGAATAACAGATGCTGCTTTATGAGATTTTGCATAACATTTTCTCAAAATTCCAAATGAGTTCCCAAAAATCTGAGGACTCCTGCTTTAGATAGAGAGATATTTGAATAATTGATGTGATACTCCATGCTTAACATTTTTATCAGTCCCTCACTGTGGACCAAATTAAAAAATAGGCTCAGCAGGGATTCCAGGAATGCCTTTTATTATTGTAAGGTACAATAGCGAAATCTTGGAAGTCCATTCAAGATCTTCTCTGACCTCTCTTATATTAAACAAAATCAATGCAAGGTTATTTTGAATCTCTTTCCCCTTTGTCTCAGGACAATCTGTTCCCCTTAATGCCTCTCTCATACTTTCCCCAGGTCTATTATAAACTCCTTTACATGTTTGTTTTGTGGCCCCGAATTTGAATAGGGCGTGTTCATTAACTTTATTAATAGTCACCTAATAACCTACCCAGAATACAAGATTTACAGGCACCTTAAGTGGAATGGGATGTGAGAATGACCTTGAGAGACAGGAAGAAGAGATCCAGCCTAGACAACTGTCTGATAAGAGAATGAGTCCAAACCAGGAATGGTGATGGAGAAAGCATCTCAGAATTGACTGGCCAGCATCTCAGAATTGACCCTCCCTAGTTCTCTGCAGCACAAAGGCAAGACTGATGTCTGTCCTTCAAGGTAATCCAAATCAGGAACCAAAACCCAAAATGTTAATACTTCCTTTATTGTAAGGTTACAGTAACAGAATCTTGCAAATCTAAAAGCATTTCCCTCTTCCCCTGCTTTTTCATTCCAGAGAACTAGGAAGAATTAGGAAAGTCAGTTCTGAAATGCTTTCTTCACCTCCATTCCTGCTTTGAACTTTTTCTCTTATCAGACAGTTGTCTAGGCTATAGCTCTTCCTCCTGTCTCTCAAGGTCATTCTTGCAGCCCAATAGAGAAAGTACTAGTTTAAAAAATGGCTGTAGTGAAGGGACTACGTTGCTTTATATATTATATTAAAAAGTGCCTTTTAATTTTTTGGTGTGAGAAATGCCTCCCAATGAAGTAAAAGAGATTCAGTTTTACTCAGCAATAAGCTGAAATAGGTGAATGTCACAAACAGTGGAATAAGTACAAGGCAACATCATTATATGGGTGGTATATTTCACATATCCAACTATATAGACAATATATAATTCACCACTTGCCTAATCCTTTTTTAAATTTGTAATTTGTGTGGTATTTTCTATGTGATCTGTGAAATTGGGGTCATCTGACTCTTTTCATATATTCTACTATATTAGTTTACAGTGCAGTAGTGATACAAGTTTGATAGCTTTCGATTAAACCTCTGCCTGAAACACAACCAAACTTTCTTTATCAGAAAAGGAGCATGTAATTATAACCTTGAATAACCAATTGAGTTTTGAAAAGCTCTGAGTTCCCGTCCCCAGCTGGACTTTTAGAAAGACTGCCAAAATACCATAGACTTTTCAAGTTGACAGTAAGTCTCACAAGCAGACCTATTTCTCTGATGTTTCCTGCTGAGTTTTAAAGCCTAAGAAGCTCAAACAGTGTGTGTAACTTGGCATCCTCCTGCTACTTATGCTGTGCAACTCAAATTATACATAGCTTGAACTCCTTCTGCCAGTTTTATGCACACCTATGGGACTAATAAACTTTCTGCTCATTAAATTCACCAGTAGCCCTCCTGGAACTGTACAGAAAGTAAACTAATGCCAAAACATTACAGTTATTCTAGTCCAGCAATCAGTTTGAAAGCTTTGATGTAAACAATAATAATCTGTTTTCCTCCTATGTGATCTATAGTGGCCATTCTGGATCATTTTCTGCAGAATTATAAAGTACTTGTTTCAGGGATAAAGTTGGAATGTTATTTATACATTGATTATTAAGATACGCTTATTATTAGGAAAGTTGATATCCATTTTGTTTTGGTTCATATATTTGATTTCTTATTCATGTTCTTGAAGTTTTGTTTTTTTAGAGATTGAATAAGGTGAAGTCAATTTTCTAGTGATGCTTTTTCCATTTTTTAAAAAAATATAAATTCTAGAAATTTAAACTCATAAACTGGTTTAAATCCTACAATTGTTTTAGATAGATCTAGGTGGCCCAGTCAGTGCTCTTCCTTCTGCTGTGAGATAAAGATTTCTGCTTGTTGTGCTACTTTTTTGTCTGCAAAGAGTCAATATTCTGAATGCAGAAAAAGGCTGGAAAGATTTCTGTGTGATAATCTACCAAAAGTGAACCTGACGAAATATATGGGTACCAGAATATTGGTGCTTTACTTTCTATGCTCAGTGTTCCTAGGCCAGCACAAGTAGTTCATCCAAAATATAAGGTGAGAATTTTCTTTAATAATTGTAATATTAAACATTTCTGTTGATGAGGAAATGCATATGCCTGATGCTCTTATAGTGCATCACTAAAAGCAATGATAATGCTTTCTCATTGTTATTCAGGTTTCTCTGGTCTTCTGTTGACAATTATTTCTTTTGGAGGGTTTGACGTAAGAGATACCATGATTCATTAATCATTTAATCTCCACATGTTGAATCACTATGGACTTTAGTGAAAAGAGAGATGCGTCATCAATTTGTAAAGATGGAGTGACTTCCCAGCAGTGAATAGTCTTTATTCCTTCTGTCTGAGTTTGGTGGTTATTTTCCTGCTATATTAATTTTAGCATTATCGAATACTGTTTGCATTTATTCTTGTTTTAAACTTACTTCACTTCTCCACATCTAAGAAAAATTATATGTTTGAAAATAGAGGGGTAGGGATATTGAGACCATTCTTTTGAATATAGAAGCCTGTAAGTGAGTTTGAAAGCATGTAAAAAATGCAAGTAGAAAAATAGGGACCACCTTTGGTGGGAAGGTAACAGCGTTCTGTGCGCCTTTGGCATTTAGTCATGCCGGCCACATGACCACAGAGATATCTTCGGACAGCCCTGGTTCTTTGGCTTTGAAACAGAGATGAGCACTGCCCCCTAGTGTCGGGAACAACTAGCCCGTATGTGCAAGGGGAACCTTTACTTTTTTAAAGTGAGCTCCACCTGTGGTTTCCTTTTGTGAGCTATTAGAAGGTTGATCCTTTGGCACAGAACAATCAGTAGACAATGAGGAATGGATAACATCAAATTTTAAAGTACAAATTTTAATTAACAAATCTGAGTAAATGGGATCTAATTAATAATGGAAGAAATTTCTAATTTTCTCAGTGTTGAAATGATATCGTTATGAGTAACCATAATGCAAATGAAATAGCTTTTAGTGAAGCAACTCCTAAATGTATCTCCAGGTGGTAATCAAGAACATGATGCCAAAATTTAGTTTTAGCAGAAACATAAAGATATTTACATTCTATTTTTTTAAAAAATCGACACTACAGTAAATACAATAAAATTGATTTCTTTTTGTCCTTTTAATTTAATGGTTTTTCTCTTACTTTTTGGTTTTTAGGATCCGGCATTTTCTTCAGTGATTCATGACAAACTACAGGTTCCCAATACTACCCGGAAAGCATGGAATGAGAGAGACAACCGGTGTGATGTGTGTGCCACTCACTTGAACCAGCTGAAGCAGGAGGCTATTCAGATGGTTTTAACACTTGAACAAGCAGCCAACGCAGAACATTGTGATGCTTCTCCTGGCTCTCCTCCTCCCCTTCCCAATATTCCCACCTTAGTGGGCTCTCGACATATGGGCAGTCCGCAACCCAGAGACTGGGCATACCTATCTGCTCCTTATGCTACTTCCAATTATGCTGGCTTTCTGCCTAACAAACTCAGTGGAAAAGTGAACAACATAGGAATCGTTAATGGGATAGAGAAGAAAAATGGTTCCTTGGGACACCAGACAAAGGTCAGTGTACAGATGGCTACCAGTCCCAGCAATGGTAACATCCTGAATTCTGTGGCTATCCAGGCTCATCAGTACCTAGACGGCACCTGGTCCTTGTCAAGAACAAATGGTATTACTCTGTATCCCTATCAAGTAAGTGGCGTTAGAAAGGATTTTCCCTCATTGATTCGTACTGGTACCTACAGAGTACTTCGTGGCTTTAAGAAATACATGTGTACTAACTAGTTCTATGATAGAGTGTCAAGATATTTAATATAGAGTGGTTGATCTCATTTGGCACTAAAATAAACCAAATATGCTGCCTTATTTTTGCAATCTTCAACTCTGTCAACCATTCTGTGGATTGCTAAATTAGCAGTGCAAATAATAGATCTTTAGGATGAAGTAGTAACTTGATCTCAGATAGGTTTGGTGTTACTAAACCTGTCTGATAAATACAACTGGTGCTGCAGAATTCTAAACATAAAGTAGTGGTTTCTTTGCATGTTGAGTGGGCGTTTTTTTTCCCTGGAAAATCTCCTAATGGGGAGAAATGCAAATGCTGAATCTTTTTTCTTTGCTGCCTAGAAAAGTTTTAGATAGGAATTTCAGCATGTTATAAAGCTATTAAAAGCTTTAGAAGGTAAGCTTCTAGGAGCGGTCATGACCTCAAATATAAACAAGGTAACAGTAGTCCTTTAGAATTTTCTTCCTTCTATATTTCCAGCTGCAAAAGACGAGAAATGAACCTGGATTCAGGTCAGTGAGGTCACCATCCCCACAGTGGGAAGGGATGTTCTAAAGGATACAGTCTCTACACAACTCTTGCAGAATCAGCTTTCAAAACCATACTGAAGAATCAACGTAGGAAGAGAAGTCTAGTGTGGCAGTAGCCTGCCAAGACATGTTAGCAAAGCCAGAGAATGTGGTGTTACTATTCTTATGTGATTGTAAGCAGGTGTGACATCACCTTTAAAGAGCTAATGTTATTTTGCGTTCCCTTTTTGTTTGCTTTACTGATTCTCCATTTCAGTGTAATGAAGGCTAAATTACCATCAGACTAAAACATTTTGTTGAATAATGGCCATGTTCGTTAACTGCAGGACGGGTAATTATGTTACCGTCTGAGATTTTTCTACCATTAAAGGTACAAGAAGATGCTTTATCCCTAAACCAAATAGCATAGAGGGACATGGAGATGATCAGAGACTGTACAGAATCAGGCTGTTTCCACTAGCAGGTATTTTTCAGAAGTGCTGATTTAATAAACCAAGGGAAAAAAAATAACTGAATAAAGGGTATTATAAATCTAGTAGGATTCATTGCCCTGTTCATCATCTTTTTATCAACTTATGTCTTGGAACAAGAGTTACGGGATAGCTAGACTTAATGGCTCCTGAGGTGGGCATCTCACCACTGCAGTTAGCTTTCCTGGCAGAATTGATAGCCTGCCTGGCAGAATCGTTTGACTGTTAAGAAGGTGGACCTTATTTTATTCTGTAGACTCTGTGCATCTCAAATGTGAAAAAGTACTGTCTTGGACACACATCTCAGCAAATCTTAACGAAGAAAATCTGCAAAGAAGAGGAACTCATAATATTGAATATATAAGAAAGTTTGGTCCAAGCCTTTAAAATCATGGGGATTAAATAGACAGAGGAGAAGAAATAGTGAGGATTTCTTCACTCTTTGCAGGTTGACCGTGCTATGATTGAATGAGATGGTTCCCATCAGGTTTTGGGATATCATAAAAGAGCAGGAAATGGTCGTGTTGCTTTATACTAGAAGAATTGAATTTTCTGCCTCATGTGCCCTAGATACTTATGTGCATCATGACTTATGTGTGAAGTTGCCACTTTATTCTTATTGTAGGTGGTAAATTGTACAGATGGTCCTCGACTTAACAACAGTTCATTTAGTGATTGTTCAAAGTTACATCACTGAAAAAAGTGACTTATGATTGTTTTTCAAACAGCATCTCCATGTTCACATGATCAAACTGTATGCTTGACAACTAGTTCATATTTCTGATGGTTACAGTGTCCTAGAGTCATGTAATCCCCTTTTGTGGCCTTCTGACAAGCAAAGTCAATGGGGAAGCCAGATTCACTTAACAGCCATGTTACTAACTTAACAACTGCAGTGATTCACTAACTTAACAACTGCAGTGATTCACTTAAGAAAGATCATAAAATAGGGCAAAAATCACTTAACAAGTATCTCACTTAGCAACAGAAATGTAGGGCTCAATTATGATTGTAAGTCAATGACTACCTGTATAGAGCCAGACCTGTATTAACAGTTTGTACAACTTTATAGAAGAATGGTTATATGACAATTATAGAGTCCTCATTTAGTGATTGCAGTCATGTAGTAACTGTTAACAGTTATGAAATTGATGAAAAAGTAACTTGGTGATCAATCCTTGCATTTATTTGTTATTAGTTGCGAAGTCGTGTCTGACTCATCGTAACCCCATGGACAACGTTCCTGCAGGCCTTCTTGTCCTCTACCATCACCTGGAGACCATTTAATCTCATCCCGACTGCTTCAGTGACTCCATCCAGCTACCTCATTCTCTGCTGTCCCCTTGCTCTTTTGCCCTCAATCTTTCCCAGCAATAGGCTCTTCTCCAGTGAGTCCTTCCTTCTCATTAAGTGGCAAAGTATTTCAGTTTCATCTTCAGGATCTGGCCTTCTAAAGAGCAGTCAGGGTTGATCTCCTCTAGGACTGACTGGTTTGATTGCCTTGCAGTCCAAGAGACTCGCAGGAGTCTTCTCCAGCACCATAGTTCAAAGGCCTCAATTCTTTGATGCTCAGCCTTCCTTATGGTCTAACTTTCACAGCCATACATTGCAACTGGGAAAACCATAGCTTTGACTATACACACTTTTGTTGGCAGTGTGATTTATAATCTCCTCAAATCCGTAAAACAATTGAAAGCTGAAGTAAGATCATGAGCAGAGTTGCTGTTTCACTTAGCGACCACTTCACTTAACAACCAAGTTGCCAGTTCCAATTGCAATCACTAATGAAGACTATCTGAACTTACATGTGTGGGTATAGTTACAGTGTATATATATATATGTGTGTGTGTGTGTGTCTTTGGTTATTCGGGTTTTCTCCCGCGTAAAATTGGAGGTTTCTAGAAGCACCAAGCCGAGAACACCAGCCTGAAGATGACGAATGAGACTTCGTCAAAACGTTGCCAAGAAACCTCCAATTTTACGCGGGAGAAAACCCGAATAACCAAAGACCTACATACAAACACCCGCGAAAACCTCAGAAAACAAATATATATACATACATACATACATTCATACTGAATGTATGAATATATATATATACATACATACATACACACACACACACACACACACACACACACACACACTCTGGAACAAGTAAAGTTTAATATTTGATTTCTTGTTATTTTATTTGCTGATTGCTTAAATTGATGTTGTTTTTAAAGATACAACAGGGGGATAGATTGCCTTTAGTAAATTGGCAATCATATTGGTTGGATTGAAAGTTTGAAAAGATAGGACAAGCAGAACAGCATTGCTTCTTATTTGTAAGAATAACAGATATAACACGTTCTCAATAATGATATTCCATGATTATCATTATATTTGGATTGGATGATCTTGTGTTAGCTTGGGATCAGTGACACAAAGTTACTCATGTGTTTACTTTTTCCTGCATGAGTTTTTGATGCAGTTTAAAAGAGGTTGGTGATGGTGAGATGATGATGATGATGATGATATCAAGTCTGATTCAAGGTTTACATTAAGGTTTTCATGTAAGCCTTAATTTATGGAATTGACCAGTTTTCCACAATTGTGGTTTGAGGATGCTCCAAGAGTCATTAAAAGATGTTTTGGAGGATCCCATGTAGTTCTGAGACTTTAGGTTCCAACCATTGGTATACATGACAAAAGCAGAAATTTAACTTTGCAAAAATAATACTTTGTTTCTTAAGAAAATTTCAAACACAGATTTTTTTAATATAAAAATTGGAAGTGGTTTTAAAAAAATGAGATCTGATGTATAACCTAAAACACAGTGATAAGATATAGGACTTAAAGCTTCTAGTTATATCTGTTAGGTGGCTATTACTATATATCAATTAGGTATCTTTTTATAAAGTAGGAATAATTACGAAGAAGTCCATAAAATCTGTTTTGAGTCTCATGAGGCTATAGCAAACAGTTACCCTATATATCTTATCTAGGAGATAAGTGAGCACTAAAGATAAAAATAGCATATAGGGTGTTTTTTTTTTGTTAAAATACAATGTATCCATAAATCATTTTAGAACATATGCTAGTTTATATGATTGGTGGGGGGAGGGGGGAGGAAAATACTTGATTCTTCCTTTATCTCTCTTTTATTTTAACAAAAAAAAAAAAAATTAAGAGAAAGGTTGAGGATCCAAACTTGGATCCTTCATTGAAGAAAAGCTCTCAAAATCATGCCTCACACCTAGTGGGTGCCATTTACATTTTCCTCCTCATGTACAGGGAGAATCCTTACAGCCACATACCTTTCTGATCAGATGTATATTGTCACAATAAACTACAAATGGATAGACACAGACCACAAGAGCTCTGAAATCTCTTTACTGAGGTGAGCTGAGTAGCTCAGCTACTAGTGAACTAATCTTGAAGGGTGTCCCAGAATAGACAACTTTCCACTAGGTCCATGATGGCGAACCTATGGCACGCATACCGGAGGTGGCATGCAGTGCCCTCTCTGATGGCACGTGATCCGTCGCCCCAGTTCAGGTTCGCATGTGTGCATGCCTCCCATCAGCCAGCTGGTCTTTGGGTCTCTGCCGCACATGCACGGGACATGTGTGAGGGGCTGCACGTTCATTGGGCACTCGATCTAGAAAAGGTTAGCCATCACTGCACTAGGTTGTCCTGTCAAAAACTGAAGTAGCGGTTCACCACAGAATGCAGTGGTCATGCTATACTTCAGGAAATTTTGAAAAGAAGTAAGGTCAAGATGAACATTATATTTTGCCTTTGATTTTTGCTTATGGCCATTTGTTTTATACTGTCCATTGCAGGGATTAGCTGCCCAACTTGTTATAGCAGACGATCAAGTACTCTCCAAGCAAAGGTGGAGACCAGTTTAGGGAATTTAGT